GGATGGGTACCTGCAGGTTGATCTGACCTGCAGAACCGCGGGTGTTGCTGCAGGGGACCTAAAGGGTCTCACGCTGAATGTCGGCCAGCTGAAGCTTCTGGCCTATCGTCAGTTGAAGAAGGCGACCGTGAAATTGGTCCTTAAGAGCTCTGCACTGAAAAACTCGACTCCCAGAGCAGTGTTGCAGGAGACCATCAGAGAACTGCTACGAAATGTTTATGTTTCACTTCATTATGTTGTAACTGTTGCCCCAAATCTTGAAAATCCCGTGGTGTATATTGAAATACTGTCCATAGACCCTTTGATGGATGAAGCTGGACTGATAACACCCCAAACAAGTATAAAAATTAAGGAGGTGGTCACTTTTGAATGGCACAGACATCTCTCAGAAGACACTGCAAAAACTTCAATTGCGGGACTAGATGATGTGCGAAAGTCTTTGAAAGAAATGGTTTATCTGCCTTTCTGCTTTCCAAAAACTTTTAAGAAGCTGGGGCTATCTGTCCCTAATGGAGTGCTATTAATAGGTCCCCCAGGTGTAGGGATAGCAAAAGAAGTGGGTGCGTACCTGTTTTGCATCAGTGGCCCAGACCTGTATGGTTCAAGACCAGGCGAAAGTGAAGAGAATTTGCGAAGAGCCTTTGAAAAGTGCAGAGCAATGTCATATGAAGGCCCAACCATTCTCTTTATTGATGAAGTTGATTCTCTATGCCCAAAGAGAGGAAGTTCAAACACTGCTCCTGAAGATCGTATTGTTGCTCAGTTGCTAACGCTACTGGATGGTGTAGGTAGTGAGGGTAAGATGGTCGTTATAGCAGCAACAAACAGGCCTGATGCCTTAGACCCTGCATTAAGAAGACCTGGCAGATTTGACAGAGAGGTAGGCAAACTCTGTTATTCTTGTGCTCTCTTTTTTCTGTCTCTCTTTGAGGTGGAGCAGGGGGCAGTTAATAAAGTAATTTTTTTTTTGGTGTCTGCTAATCATGTTTCATAGTGGGATTCTACAGGCTTGAGACATGTATCCTGTTTCTTTCTGCAGCTTGCTGCAGCTTGGGTAAGGTAGGGAGCACATTTTACTTAGGAAACTGAGAGCTCCAAATACTTGAAAATGGAAAAGGGGAGTCTTTATGTTTGTTTAACATAAAGATGTGGACCTGTTCTTGAGGGTTTTCTTTTGCTTACAAATGCGTAGCATTACAGACTTAGATTTTTCTCATTTGAATTCTAGATTGAAAAGGTGTGCCTCTCTCCTTAAGTTTATTGTGACAGAGAACTCGTAACCTGTTGTGTCAAAAATTCTATTCAGATTTCAGTAACAGAGGCTAGGTCTACTCTGGAAAGCTTCTGCTAGCCTAATGGTCAGAAGAAGAAAGAACATATGTAGTTATGCAGCACACAATGCTTTTACTTGTGTTGTTTATTTTGTTGACTAAATGCACTCCTGGGTCATCTAGTTTAGTCAAATTCTTTAATGTTCTCACAATTATAATTTTATTTTCCATGATGTATAGATTGTTGAGATATATTTTATGGTGGTATTTTACCAAGGTTTTAATGATGTATGAATGCTTATCTAAATTTTTTTTTCTTTTGGATGCATCTAATTCAGCTGTTGTGATGCAAGGAAATTATTATTTCAGTGTTATGTTTTTTGTTGAAATTACCTTAAACTAGGACTTGAGGGACACTAGCTGACACTGTCTTATGAACAACTGTTTATACAAATGCTGTTCAGTTGGAAAGTCTGTGTAAATGAAGGGTGTTTTAAATATTTCTTATTTGTATAGTGCAGGTAATAAGTTTCTTGTCAAATTCTTTAGTTGCAGTGTAAATATATGTGTGTGTATATATATTTATTGACCTTTAAAGGTCCCTTCCAACCCAAACTATTCTGATTCTAAATCTTTAGTAAGCAGTATAAACAAGAGAGAAACTTGCTTGCCCAGGTCTGTAAAATAAGAGGAATATAGCAAAATATTTACTTAAGTAAACTTTAAAATTTTTGTTTATTATATTTGGTTTAGGTTATTATTGGGACACCAACACTTACACAAAGAAGATCCATCCTGCAGTTGCTTACATCTAGTATGCCAATTTCTGCAGATGTTGATTTGGTTAAACTGGCAGAAATGACAACTGGGTATGTTGGAGCTGACCTTACAGCGCTCTGCAGAGAAGCTGCTATGCAAGCTGTGTTCCACAGCTCTTTGGTATGGTTGCAAATTAGTCAGGAAGAATGTCATCACTAATATGTACCACCTTTTCCTCATTAATGCTCGGCTTTACTTGAAAAGCTCAAGAAGTTGAACTCACAAATAAAGATACTGAAAAAGACAGAGTGTTTTATAAATGTAAATACACCATTTCACTAGTCCAGTTCTCACCTGAAAAGACTCTTTTCTCCTTTCTGGAAGGAAAATCCTGCCAAAAGTTTTTATCCTCATTGTTAATATGTTTTAGGATTGTGCAAAGCAGAGATTTTAGTCTTTTTTGGCAAACTGAACTATAATGTCCACCAAAGCTCTCTCGAAGCTATCAGCGATTTAGACTTATTAATAATTGCAAATTAAAGTTTAGGTTGACACGTAAATATATAACTGCTAGTGATAATAACTATTATAATTTGGGTTGTATGGCTAGATACAACATTGTTATTGTCACAAGGTATACAATTGCCCGGTGTGCAGAAGTTTAACTTCTTGGATATTATAGATCCGGAATTAGAGAATTGCTATTTCTTCACATTCTTTCTATGTATTCTGACTTTTACAAGAATTGAGGTATATGTTTGCTGTGGTTTTTCATCTGGAATGGCTGAGCAGAAGTTTAAAGCCTGATCTGCAAAATTTCCAGACTCAGAGCATCTACAGAGAATGGTAGAACCCTCTGTCTTCACTTGGGTAGAAAAAAAGAGATCATTGTATTTCTACAACTTCCATCTCCTCCAGATACCTTACAAATACTGAAAGTAATAAACAAAATAACTTGAGTTTGTTATCCCAGAAGGAAATAGAAGGACAGATGAAAATAATAAGTAGATGGCCTGTTTGCCTTGAGAACTGCAAGCTCCTTTGCAAAATAAATCTTAGTTCTGGTACTGCATCTGTAGTTTAATAATGGTATTTTCTAGACTATTTGAGATAAAGCACCTTAACTTTCTCCAGTAGTTGATGAAAATGGATTTAGAACATTTTTATTTGTATTCAAGAGAATCTAGTAATGGGGGTGTGGTAACCCTGAAACTAGCAACCATTTGATTTAGCAGATTGCTGTGTTGTGGAGCTCTAATTTAGCGAAAAACAGTAGTAGTGTGTGAAACATTAATTTCTGTTAAAATTGTTTTTTCCTGCGTAAAAACTTGCCATTAAAGAGGTAGGAATTTGCTGCTTTATTAGCTGCACTTGGCCTTTTGTGAAGTGTTTTGCATACTAATACAGCATTATAAGTTATGTAAAAATATTGTTAATATGCTCTATCTGGGTTTCTCAGGATTCAACTGAAATGGTGGTTAACATCGCAGATTTCCAAGAAGCTTTTAAAAAAATTCAACCGTCGTCTTTTCGAAGTGCAATTGGACTAACAGAGTGTAAACCTGTTACTTGGGAGCAAATTGGTGGTCTTGAAGATGTGAAATTAAAGTTAAAACAGGTGATGTATAAAATACATTTAGATAAACAACTAGTTTCTAATAACCATGTCCTCGAAGATATGCTGTATGCTACATTATAGAAATGAAATCTCTTGCAAATTACCTGATTATAAATTATATTTTGAACACTTCTTATACTACATTAAGTTACTACAATGTTTGTGAGTTAGAAATCTTCCAGTCACAAGATATCACCACCAAGTGTAATACCATGTGAAAATTAGCACACGCTTTCCAGTAGCTGAAAAACACTTAATTTGCAGCCAGATAATTTGTCCATTCCTGAATTGTAGCCAGAGCTGGCTCTTGCATATCATCTATCGAGGATTGCCTTTTGTTCTGTTTGAGACTGAGAGGAAACTTTAAGGGGAGCGTTATATGAAGGAGGACCAAATTAGTATTCTCTGATTTCAATTTAATGTTTGTACTAAGGAGAGGAAATAATGCACTCAGCAATTGTATTGATTGCCTATGAACTCTAGTTCTGTTACTAAGAATTTCATCCCTTTTTTATGTATTGACAGAGTATTGAGTGGCCCATGAAATTTCCTCAGGCGTTTGCTAGGATGGGCCTGTCTCATCCAAAGGGTATTCTTCTCTATGGGCCATCAGGGTGTGCCAAAACCACACTGGTGAAGGCTGTGGCCACAAGTTGTCATTGTTCCTTTCTCTCTGTAAGTGGTGCTGACCTCTTCTCGCCTTATGTTGGAGATTCAGAGAGGATTTTGTCTCAGGTAGAGTTTTTAATTTGTGTAAGGGCTATAGTTTAATTTTTGCTCCATTTTTGTGAAGTACTAGTAAGGCCTAAATTTTGTTATAGAAAAGATAATAGTTAAAGCTGTCATCTGATTATTAAAGAGAAATGGCTTACAGATTCACATTTATATAAACTGAGAATCTAGCCCTAAAATGATACCAGTCTTAAACTTTGAAAGTATTTCTACCCTATTGTTTCCAGCTCACTTAAGAATTTAAAGAAGCAGCATTTGCCTATAGTAAATGTAAGCCTAAAGTAAATGTAATGTGGCTCTCATGAATCTTTATGAATGTATCTTTAAAGTTAAGTAAGTAAAATACAGAGTATATGGAAATAGGTGTTTTCACCTTACCTGATAGAATGTATGCATTAATGTTTTACTTTCTTAAATTTTTTTTTTTAAAAGGTTTTTCACCAAGCAAGAGCAAATACTCCGGCAATAATATTCCTAGATGAGATTGATTCTATCTTAGGATCCCGGTCACGCTGCAGAACTGGCCATGGTGTCTCTGAGCGGGTTCTTTCTGTTCTTCTCAATGAGTTGGATGGTATTGGGCTGAAAGTCACAGAAAGAAGAGGAAGCAAACTACAGCTTGAGGGTCAATGTCAAGAACAAAGAGATGAGGAGAGAGAGGTATTTATGTTCCCTTTTCTATATAGGAAGAATGGTAAATGCTGTCCAGTTGTTCCAAAAATATCTGTCTAAACTATGTTGCACTAATTTGTTTATATCATCTCTTACTCAGCTAGAGTTTCAGGAAACTTTGAACAAAGATTTCATGGTAGTTGCTGCAACGAATAGGCCAGATATGCTGGATGATGCCTTATTGCGTCCTGGAAGGCTAGACAATGTGATCTATATTCCACCTCCAGATCTGAAGGTGATGTATTACAAATTCATACGTGGCTTTAAATGGAGAGATGCTAAATGCCAGCATACTTTAAGAGCAAAGGGGACATATTCCTATAGTGTATATATATATAACAACTGGTGGATGACTCACTGAAGATCAGTCGCCAAACTCAAGGTACAATGAAGAAGTTTAAAAGGAATAATTATATTTATAATTTTAAACCCAGTTACATTTTAACTGATGTATGTAGTTTTACTATTGTGTGTGGAAGATAGACAAAATCTGGAATAACTCTGTATTTACAAAATGAAGCTACAGTTTAGGAAGTACCATAACAAATTGACTGTCCTTGCTTCAAATCATTCTTGTGCCGTGTTCCTAAGGGCAGTATAGCTACTTGTCCTGAGCTTCTGCAAAAAAAAAGAGTTGACTCAAAGCAGGCCAAATGTGGACTCTTCAGTCTAAAATACCGTGTTTTCGTGTAGCAATGAGTAACTGAGTAACAGACTTTAATATATGAGCTAATACTTACTCTTGTGGTTATGTGGTTATCTCCATTAATGGCATTTTATTCACTCATCCACCAAAAACATGTAGTTTTGGTACTCTTCTGGATTTTCCTTAGTTCTAATTTCAGATTCTGTACTGCTTTGTAAATGGATTAGTTATTGGGTTGTTTGGGTTTTGTTTTCTTACATATTATGCTCCAACTTACAGGGAAGGCTTTCTATTTTGAAAATCTGCACAGAAAAAATTCCATTAGATACTGATGTGTCATTAGAAGATGTGGCAGTGCTAACAGATCTCTTCTCTGGAGCCGATATTGAAAATCTGTGCAAGGAGGTAAGAAATATTCATGGTTAATCAGTGAAATAAACTGTAAATGAAGCCTGTAAATGAAAAAAAGAGAGCTAACTCATAGATGTTACCAAGCCATCTATAGTACCTATTCTTTCATAGTTTGTAATGAAAATATAAAGAGAACGAATAAAACGGAAGAACTGAACAAGGGTTAATTCTTTAAAAAAGACAAATAAGAATAAAGGCTTTCTCTAACAGCTTAGTAGAAGTTAAGGAACTGTACTACCCTTTGTTTCACATGGCCTTTTCTAAAGCAAGCTCACATCTAGATGAACTGTATTTTGTGTACTGCAAGCAACTGCAGCATTTTTAGCTGAAATTAGCATGTCCTGTCAAGGCTAGAGAGGAAAAAAAAAAAAAAGAGAAATGTAAGTATTTGAGATAAGTTATATAAAAGAGAGAAGACTAGGAAGAAAATAGAAATTGATAAGTGATCAAAGATATCTTGTCTAATCCAGACAAGTGAATGGAAAAAGTTACAGTAATCTTATTTGATGTTTATCTATTGTTAAATAACCATAAATTATACAATGCTGTTTTCAGATGCTTTACCTGAAAACACCTTTGGTTTAATGTAAAATACTTTAGAATACTTACAATAACTTCTTTGCAACTTAGAACATAATAAACACTTCAAGTTGTTTCTTTTTTCTTTTTCTTTTAAAGGCTGCTTTGTTGGCATTGCAAGAGAATGGACTTGAAGCAACTGCTGTAAAACATGAACATTTTGTAAAATCGTTGAGGACTGTAAAACCATCCTTAAACATAAAAGACTTGGAATTTTATGAAAAATTTTATAATGAGGAATTAGCTTCTTGAATCAAAAAGGAGTGATATGGCATAGGTATTTTTAAATACATTACAAAGACTTTGCAATGTCTTACATCTCGCCTGCTTTTTGATAGTGTACTTACTGTAGTTTCCAGTTTGTATGAAATACAGTAAAATTTCACTTGTGAAAAGTCTGATCTCAGTAATGAAGAATAAATTAAAATCTTGTTTGCTTTGGCTAGCTTTCAATCTGGTGAAAGTAATTGAGATACATAGATAACGCACTGTGGAGCAGGTCATTGTTACTGTAGATTTCCTAGTTTTCAGTACAAACACTGGCATATAAGAATATTTAACTTAAAACATGTTGTGAAGTCTCCAAAAGACCGTGAATATTTAAAAAACAGAAAAGCTTCCAGAATGTTAAATAGAAAGTAAGTCCCATACTGTATAAAATGTAAGGTGTTTTGGATGTGTGTGTCTACAGACTTGTCTTACAAGCAGATTCCAAAATACAGTGGCAGTGAAAAGCTGATCAGTGCTTAATACCATGTTGAAAGTTTGTGAGTCTGAGTTTTTTGAATAATTATAGATCAGTTACTGCTTACTGTACAAACACTTGGATTGAGTAAGCAGATACTAAGTCTGTAATCAATTCAAACTATAATACTTTTTCCTTTAAAGGGAGTTTGCCTTATAACAGTTTCTGCAGAATTCTTTTCCCCACCCAACCATTCTTTGTCAAAATATTTTTGTATGTTGTCTTCTAAAATACAGAGATATATCAAAGGAAATTGTTATTCCATGTATTTATGTGTGCATTTTAACTTACCAGGGTAGGAAGTTTTTAATTATTTTCTCCTTTTCACCATGAAAATGCTTGTGAACGGAATACTCCACTGTCAAAGATAGTTTATTTCAGCTGAGGTTCTTAGGTTAAAACCCATTAACAAATACTTTTTTTCTTGGAACAGAGACACTAGGGACTGCCTGCAGTGCAGTTTATAGTGAGATGGATCACAAAATGAAGTTCCAAGGCAGTTAGTGACTGCGGAGGGCAAAGAGGAGTCCTAGAAGTCGTCGTAACTTAGGAAAGGGTTCAGATATAAATGACTGTCCCACAGCCTAGTGGCTTTGATCACCATTTCCTAAGGAAGGACCATCCTGCTGCTTTATTGCTGCATTTCCTAAACACCTAAAGGTTTCTTAGCAGCAGTGCTGGAGATAGTATGGAAAACTTCAAGGTAACTCTGCTTTGCTTTGCAGTGTTTGGAGTGTTGCTTTAGGATTGCCAGACCTGAAAGTTGTTAGGACAGCAAAATGCTGTCAGCTCCTCCATTTCAAAGATGCTGCTGCTGCTTAACTGCTGTACTTGCTCGCTAGAAGGACCAACAGAGCTAATGGCGCACTGTCATGTCCCTTCCTTGCTACAGGGAGCCAGCAGAACATGCAGCAAAGGCAACCTCGCCTTCCCCTTACTGCTTTCCAGAAGGTCAAAGGGAGACAGGTTTACAGGAGTCTGCCGGCACCACACACCTCCAGCCTGCCCTGGTAGGAGTTTTTCACAGGCGGGGGTGCTGGGAAGTGATAGGAGCTGAGTAACACAGCAGGGTGGTGGGAACCTGGCCCAGGGTTAAGCTTTTGTTGCAGCACAAGGGGACAGTGACATCGGGCTCCTGTTGTGGTCACTCTGCGTACCTTGCCGAGCTCTGAAAAGAGGCAGGCCGAGGCCTCGCCTCTGCGTTTACCTGGATACGTCGTTCTTCAGGCAACTGCCTGGAAAAGGGGACAAACGAGAAGACAAAGGAGACGTGGGGAAGCCAGGTTTGAGGAACGCGGTAACGTGGGGGGAGGAAGAGTTGCGGGGAGAGCACGCGGACACCTCGGGTTTGGTACCGGCGCGCGCCTGCCCGCCATGGGGCGGCGCTGCTC